GTGTGTGTGTGTGTGCATGTGTGTGTGAGTGTGTGTGTGAGTGTGTGTGTGTGCTGCGAGTCAAACTCAGGTTCTCTGTGAGAGCAGTATGCACTCTTAATTGCTAAGTCATCTCTCCAGATCGCCACATTATTTTTTGAGGCAGGGTCTCTCACTGAAGCTCACCAAGACTGGCTAGCCAGTAGACCTCAAGAATTCCCATCCATGCCTCACTAGCACTGGATTGCAGGTGTGTGTCACAGTGCCACAGGTGTGTGCCACAGTGCCCGGGTTCTAACATGGCTACTGAGGATTCGAACTCAGCTCCTTCTCTTACACAGCAAGCACTTGCCCAACCCACCCATCTCACCAGTTCCACAAATAATCCGTTTATAATGTGATAACCAGTGTGGTAACAATCAGTTTATAGTGGGATTCCTTCCTTACAGAAACAAGTAAGTAACACAGAACTGACTTCAAACCTAGTGTAGGTAGCCGACTGCACACCTTGAGTTCTGGGAAAATGAGCAAGCGGAGCTCATTTGTACTTAGAAAGTTGTCACATACGGAGTTAGGAGTCTATAAGGGAGAAAAACGTCAATAAGGTTTCTTACAGCTTTTATAGGGGTTCTGTTTTCTCTGCTGCTGTGCAAACACTCTAGAAAATAAATCTACCAAGCTAAGCAAGTAGATTACATTAAGGTCTGAGACGTGGGATCAAGTTTGTTTCAGGGGGACTCAGTCCAGCAGGGCACCTAGTCCCCTCTAGTGTAACAATAAGAGGCATGAAGGAAGCTCCCGTATTTAAAAATGATTTCATACCATGAATGCTTTAGAGAAACACGGTCTTCGTTGCTGTTCAGTAACAACAACTATCGTTGGCCCATTCAGCCAAAGGCAGGAGAACTGGAGACAGAGCCTCCCACCCTGGGGGCACTGGGGTTCCTGTCTAAAGACAGCATGTGGGGGGGAATGATGCTCTGGATGACGAACAAAGCACAAACTAAGCACAAAGTAGCCATAGCACGTAGCTCCGCCTCCTCCGTTTGTGAGCCAACACTGCCCCCTGCTGGATGCACTATCTAACCTCAGTATCCCGCAGATGGAAAACCCATGCACGGTAACAATGCTGCCACATGGGACTGCTGTGGGCATGAAACGAGTAAAAGCAGAAGAAAACTCCAACAGCTGCCAGACAGGGCTCACTGGGTTGGCACTGTTACCATGGTAGTGATTATTATGGTACCAGCCACACACACATCCATTCATAAAACAGTATTCTGATCCAGCACTTTTCTTGGCCACTAAAGCTTCCGTGGGGCAGAGAGTCTGGTCTGTACTGAACAGTGCTATGATCCACCTTACTGTCATTTCAGTGTGGGCTACAAGAATGATGACCAATAGGATCGGGTAAGATGGAACATAGCAAGTTCTTAACATATACATAAGAATACATAAATCCCAAAAGCAAACCTACCGCAGCAAATAGAAACTGAAGAATTCATTCTTGGTATGTAAATATACGTGTATATGTGTGTGTTCAAATAGAGAGGAAGATAGATTGATGATAGATGATAGATAGGTAGATAGTAGATATTCTCTTTCTTATATAAGTCCCATAACCACTTCTCAGTTGAGGAACATTAGAAGCATCTCCCCCTGAGAGAGGCACAAGACACAGTGTAACTATATTTCCCCTACTCATAAAGATTGTCTTGGAGATAGTAACAATGTAATTAAATAGGACCCCTAAGTGGATGAGAGACTCAGTAGTTTGTAAAGAAGAGAAACTGTATCTCTCTGCAGATGTTGTGTTATATATACACATCTATTTCTATTCCATGGACTAGAATCCAGTAAGGTCCTATCTCAGTTTGCCTCTCTGTTGCTGTTATAAACATCGTGATCGAGAGCAGCTTGGAGAACAAGAGGGTTTCTGTGACTCACAGATCATCAAGGGAAGCCAAGGCAGGAGCCCAGAGGCAAGAGCTGAAGCAGAGACCACAGGGCAAAGCTGCTTCCTGGCTTGCCTTTTATACAACCCAGGGCCACCTGCCCAGGTCTAGCTCAGCCCTCTAGGTCTGCTGTATCAGTTACAATCAAGAAAACATCACGCCAGCAGACATGACCATGAGCCAATCTGATGGAGTTTGAAGTTCCCTCTTCCCAGGTGACTCAAGTTTGCAACAAGCTGACAAGGTCCAGTTGGCGCAGGTACTAAGGCTATGAAATGATCGTGACAGGTCAGTTTACCTTCCTACCAAAACCTCAGTAGTGTGCAGGATAATAGGGAAATGTCCACTTACAGCAACAACACAGAAAAGTAACAATTTGGCAAGATATATGTACATATTTGTGTGTATATATGCACACACACGTAGATAGATATGAAAATGGAACACACTGAAACAAGCCAAAGACAAGCTTAAAATTTTGTCAAGATATCCCCATCTCTAGCCTAGGATGATTCAACATCGATTTTTTCCAAAATGACTGGGAAAAGTACAAAAAGGTTTTCATAAAGTTAGACAGCCTGACAGTAAAGCTCATCATACAAAACGGCCAGAAAACCACAGGTGGGGGGAGGAGGGGGACAGAAACCGCAAAGGGGACTGGTCCTGCAGGGCATTCAAACATAAACTGTTTCGACCTCTTATTTAAACTGTGTGCTGTGGGGCTGGAGAGATGGCTCAGCGGTTAAGAGCACTAGCTGCTCTCCCAGAGGACCCGGGTTCAACTCCCAGAATCCACATGGCAGCTCACACCTGTCTGTCACTCCAGTTCTAGGGGATCTGACGCCTTCACACCAGTGCACATAAAATAAAAGTTAAATACATTATTTAAAAAAAAAAAAAACCCACCCATTTGTTGCACAAGGAGATGAATACCCAGATCACCGGGAGTCACTCCGTGATAAAGGCGACATTTCAGACCACAGTCGAGATGGACTCTCTAATAAGAGGCACGGAGACAGCTGGTAGCCAGGTTGTGGGACCTGGACCGGTTATGTCTAAAGTTCTTAATGAAAACCTTCGTGTGCCAGATTTGATCATCTTTTCTTGGATGTAGCACTGCAGACACACTCAACAAGAGCTGCCATTCTAGCCCACGCCCAGTCCCCAGTAAGCAACTGTCTCCTTGCGGCTCTCAAGGGATGTCCAGTTATCAAAGAGGTGTACATTATATTTAACATATCACTAATGGGATATTTACAGGAAATAAAATCAAGGGTACTAGAAATACCTATTTTAAAGGGTATTTGTTGGTGAATAAATTACCCCAGAGCATCTAACTCAAGGGTTCTAATCTCCAGGATGTGGTCCCTGGCTATGACACTCTGCAAATGCATAGAAACACGTAGAATCCTGGGCTCCACTTTTGGAGGTTCTTGGTGGATGGTAAGAATGAGGGCTTTTAATAAGGGTCTCCCACCCTCCAACCTGTTCCCCACGGCTGACACACTGTTGGGTATGGGACCACTACGCCCATGCCTACACCCTGACCTAGGAGAAAAACACATATTCATCAGACTAGATAAGGCTGTTTCAAATTTTTAAGAAAGAATGCTCCCTCGGCTTCCTGCCATAGTTGTTCGGACTGTCTTCAAGGCAGCTCCCCCCTACCCTAACCTCAGAGGTAGGGTGGGTGTTTGCTCACGGGCTGGATGGAGCACTTTCCCACAGCCCTCGGGAGGACAGAGGAGCGTCAGGAATGTGTGCAGCCCCCAAATGCCCCCACTATCCTTCGCCTTCCTGGCATCCCGGTATCTACATCCCTGGTATCCAGCCAGGAATTGAACGCTTGCCCTGCTCCAGCCTCCAGCCGGGCTTCACTGCAGTACAGGGACCTGGAAAAGCCCTGTCCCACCCTCACCCAGTTCTAAACACGAGCAAGAGCGAAATGCGTTGTACAATTATTTCAACTCGGATCATATTCATTTTCATTTATGACTGTCAGGAGTTACCCATAGTGCCAATAAAATGTTCTGGTTCAGGAGAATTCCAGGAAACATGACTTCTTTTAATGAAACACCATGAAAATTTTTTCAGTGCACTTAAAAGCATCTGGGTCCATGTTTTGTTTTATTTACTATTTTTATTAATTTTATTCTATGTGAGGGTGGTTGAGGTGAGGTGTGCACATGCCCCAGCATGCATGCAGGGTCAGAGGTCAGAGGGCAACCAGTAGATGTCAGTCTTTCCTATCCCCATATGGGTCCTGGGCAGCAAACCCAAGATTCCAAGCAGGGCAGAAAGAAAAAAAAAAAAAAAACACCTTTACCCACTGAGATACCTCGTTTCACATTTTTAGAAAGTCCAGACACTAGCATAGAGTTTAGTGTGTACAAAGATGTGCAGCTGAAAAGTCTTACGTGGAAATGGAGATATCGCCTGACCACTGACAGCAGGTGAACCCAGGCAGACCCAGGAAATGACCCCAATGAACTGGAATTCACATCTATGTGTGACATCTCAGCAAGCTCATTCCCCTGCCACCAAGGTCACAAGGTCACTGCTGGCAGATTTCTCACTGAGATTCTCTCCTTACTAACTGGGTTGATTCCCAGTATGGTACTGCTTCCCCAAGAACCTTGGGGAAAGGGCATGTTCCTCTTATCATTTTTTGAAGGTATGCCTTGAGCAAGATCTTTTTCACTACTGGTTTCGCATTGGTTGGTTGGTTGGTTGGTTGGTTGGTTGGTTGGTTGGTTGGTTGATTTTGGTGCTTTGTATAAGAATGGTGCTCCTGGGCTGGAGAGATGGCTCAGAGGCTAAGAGCACTGACTGCTCTTCCAGAGGTCCTGAGTTCAATTCCCAGCAAGCACATGGTGGCTCACAGCATCTATAATGAGATCTGGTGCCCTCTTCTGGCATGCAAGCATACATGGAAGGAATGTTGTATACATAATAAATAAATAAATCTTTAAAAAAAAAAAAAAGAATGGTGCTCCTAGGCTCATCTATTTGAATCCTTGGTCATCAGGGAGTGGCACTACTTGAGAAGGATTGGGAGGTGTGGCCTTGCTGGAGGAGTTGTGTCACTGGGAGTGGGCTCTGAGGTTTCAAAAGCCCAAGCCAGGCCCAGTGTCCCATCTTCCTGCCGCTTGCAGATATGTAGAACTCTCAGCCACTTCTTCTGTACTTCTTCTGTACCACGTCTGCCTGCATGCCACCATGCTTCCCAGCATAATAATGATGGACTAAACCTCTGAAACTATAAGCCAGCCTCAATTAAATGCTTTTTTATAAGAACTGCCATGGTCATGGTGTCTCTTCACAGCAATAGAATACTAATTGAGACAGGGTTTTTTGTTTGTTATTATGGTTGGTGGTTTGGGCTTTTTAATAGATTGTTTGTATGTACATGTGTGTAAGTGTATGCTATGTGTGCAGTGCCCATGGAGGCCAGAAGAGGGAGTCAGATCTCCAGGAACTAGAGTTACAGGAGGTTGTGAGCCAACTGGTGTAGGAGCTGGGAACTGAACTAAGATCTTCTAGAAGAGTAGCAAGGGCTCTTACCCACAAACCATCTCTCCAGCACTTCCTCTTATTTTTTGAGACAAGAATTCATGCAGCCTAGGCTGGCCTCAAACTCACTATGTAGTCAAGGATGGAAGAGATGCTGTACTCCCCCTCCCCCATTATCCATGAACATGAAATTATGGCACACTGAATGGATGTTATTAATGCTAGTCAGGGTTCACACTACTGGGAACAGTGAACTCTATTTGCAAATTAGTCTATGTCCCCTGAACAGCACCCAGAATGGCAGACTATGCCTGACCCTGCAGACCACAGACCCCATGGCCAACGGAAAGTACAGCAAGGGTTTCAGACACTCTCTTCCTTAGGTTCTCAGTCTGGCAGTGCCCCATCAGTAGCTGTTTTCCAGAATGTTCCGATCGCAGCAAGCACATCCACTACAACACAGCCTATGAAAACCCACACACTTCTAATCCATCGGCATATACTTGCTTTCATTGGTGTCTCTCCACATAACTAGCTCATCAGCTGCTCTTGCGTCTTCTTTTGATAAATGTTTGGGGTCGTTAGAAAAGACCTGCAGCAGGATCTCATCTGAAGAGAAGCAAGCACAAGCATGTTAACACCAGAAACACGCATGGGTATATCTTGCACTGTACATACACAGCGTGTCCATGGATGCGTGAATGGATACTCAGACTCAGTGGATACAGGATGCTCAGCTCTAAGATGACCAAACCAGATACTTCGGGCAGAGATAGACGTCTAGAAATTCTGCCCCGTGCCTCGTATGTAGACATACAACTTCCCTTCTTGTGCCTGGTGTCATTCATACCGTCTTAAAGTGTCCCCCACTCAGGGTGACACATAAGAACAGGGAGAAGGCTGAAAGTCAGAAATGAGGCAAAACATGCTAAATGGTCATTAAGAGCTTTTTTATACATAAAACTCTTCCTGATTAGGATGGCGAGATGGCTCGGTGGTCATGCTCACTGGCCACTCTTCTGGAGGACCTAGGTTAGATTCCCAGCACACGCATGTTGAATCACAACCTGTTGTAACACCCTGTTGATTTAGACAACACATACTTAAGTCACTGAACACAGAAAAATCCAGTGATTGCTCAGCTAGAAGCTTCACCCCGACTGGCTGGCATTCATAGTGTTGTGAGGTGCTATCCACCCTAGCAGAGCAGAAATGTAGTCTTCAGTCTCACCCATCTATGAAGCCTGGAGGCTACAATAAGGACCTGCCGGCAAGATATATACCTCGGATGCAATATTGGCACAAATGTTATGGGAGTAACCAACCCCCTTTTTTGGGGGGAGGGTTAAGACCCACTTCATAAAATGGAACTCATATTTGACACCGATAATGAGGCCAAGAACCTGAGATTAAAGGTCATGCCCTAGGTTAGTGGTTCTCAACCTGTGGGTCGCAACCTCTGGAATTTGAATGGCTCTTTTATAGGGGCTACCAAAGACCATGAAAAAAAAACACAGATTTACATTACAATTCATAACAGTAGCAAAATTACAGTTATGAGGTAGCAATGAAAGTAATTTTATGATTGGGGAGTCACAACATAAGGAATTATACTAACGGGTTAAAAAGGTTGAGCATTGGGAAGATTGAGAACCACCCCCTAGAGGAAAACCTAGTACTATTATTCTACTAAGTAAACATAGCAATAAAATTGTTCCTATGCTATACACATAGATTAGTGCATCACCTCAACCCTCACCAGAGAAGTTGCTTCTTTTTCTTTCTAATTTTAAGGATTTGCTTATTTTTAGTTTATGTGCATGTGCGTTCTGCCTGCTTGAATGCCTGTGCACCTTGTGCAGTTCTGGTCCCCTCAGAGGCCAGAAAAGAGTGCTGGGCATTCTGAGACTAGAGTTAAAAATGCTGGTGAGCCACCATGTGGTGCTGAAATCAAACCCAGGTCCTCTGGAAGAGCATCCGCTGCTCTCAATTGTTGAGCCATCTCTCCAGCCCAATAAGCTGCTTCTTACAACAGATGGGTAATAAACGCAGAGAACTACAACCGGACAGGGAAAGACTTTGGGGCACTCAGATCTGAATGGGGTGTCTTTATCAAACCTTAGGGATCTATGCCGAAGAGAAGAAAAGATTAAAAGAGCCAGAGGTGGTGCATGACTCCAAGGAGAAATTCTTTTTCATACACAGCAAGTCTGATGCACATGTGAACTCAGAGAGACCGTGATCACACATACAAGGCCAAACCAGACAAAATCCCAGCACAGAGAAATGGAAATCCAAGCAAAGCCCACCTGTGACCAAGAAGCTATTTGCAGCTGCTGGCTGCTCAGGGAGGGACAATCAGTTCTCTTCAAGAGAGCGACACTGGGTATCTCAACCACAGTACAGAGCAGGCCCCAAGCTCAGGTGTAGCTGGCTAACACTAAACAGATTCCACGATTCCACGTTTATTGTCTGTGTGTGTGTGTGTGTGTGTGTGTGTGTGTGTTTGAGATTTTTATTTAAGAGAGAAAAAGAACATGAGGTTGGGTGGATAGGAAGGGGGGTCTAGGAGGAGTTAGAAAAGGATAAAGAATAGGATCAAAATATATTGTAAGAAAAAAATTCAAAACAAAAAATCCACATTGTAACATTCTCTTGGTATACTAGTTAATATAAATGCTAAAGATTAAATAGGTTTGTATAACTGAAGATTTTATTTTTGAATGTCAAGCTTTCTGCCCTTCAGAGAAAATACTTATTAAGAGCTTCTAGCCAGATGGTGGTGGCGAACGCCTTTAATCCCAGCACTCGGGAGGCAGAGGCAGGCGGAACTCTGTGAGTTCAAGACCAGCCTGGTCTAGAGAGCAAGTTCTAGGACAGCCAAGGCTACACAGAGAAACCCTGTCACAAAAACAAAACAAAACAAAATAAGAGCTTCCAAAAAAAAAGAAAAGAAAAAAAGGCAGTTTTTGCCGGCTCTGCTTCTGTCCGGGCAAAAGAACAGGTTCCTGGAGCTCTCGCGCCCTGTCGAGTTCCATCTGGATCTTCGCTTTTCTCAAAAACACAGCAAGAGTTTCCTAGAAGAGCAATGAGGTGGCACTCTGAAAACTCTAACGCGAAGGTCTTCCCACACAACAAGCATAAGCACTCAGGCAGGCTGCCTGGTTCAGTCTCCCAGGCTATCCTCACGCTCTCGTACCCTGCTACCACCACCTGGCACCCTCTGAGAAGCAGGGTCCTTTCCAGGTGTTTGGATTCTGCTTTCTGTTGGTTTTCTTAAGACTCTGACAGAGGAACAGACTCTAGCCACAAGGTAAGCAACAACCATGCTTACCTTCCCTTTGAAGCAGCAGGAACGAGTTACCTAAAAGACAGCCAAGGGCAAGCAGGCGAGTTCTTCAAATACATCCTAAAGTTTACACAGGAGGAGGTGACTTACCAAACAACTTAGCCAGATGTGAACTTGATGCAAATTCGGAATTGTTGAAGCTGTTCGGGGGGGCATGAGCTGCGGGGAAACAAATTTTAGCTGTGCTGAAATCTGTCCTCAAGTCTATGCCTAGTCTCTCTCAAGCCCCAGTCCTCTGCAAGGCACTTCGAGAGGAACAGTTGTGTAACCGGTGTCTTAGCCACTTTCACAATGCTGTGGGAAAATTACTTTGGCAAAAACAACTTAAGGGAGAAAGGCTTTGTGTTGGCTTGAGCCTCTAGAAGGATACCATCTGATTATGGTGCCAAAGACACGGAGGCAGGAGGAGGATGCTCAGTCACTAAGTTATTTGTGTGCACACAACAGCTCTAACTGTAGAAAAAAGTCTGGTGGAAGGACCCGGGTAGTGGGTGCCAAATGACGTCAAGCAGAGCTGCTTTGAGCCAATAAAGGACAAAGGCACGATTCTCTACTAACGAGACCTGGAAGAGTCGTTAGGACCAATACATTTAATCCTTAAGCACTTTGCTGAAGACATGACATATTGTATCAACTAAGGGGACATAATAAAAAACCCCTGCAGAGCAAGCTAACAGGATTATGCAGCAAAAGTATTCACATTTGTGCCTTTATTGAGTGGCCATCGAGAAATGCATTGGCGGGATCATTAGTTACAAAACTGCTTTGCTTAGATTGTAATTTCCACACAGCATATGTTTCTGGCTTTATTTTGATAAGCAATGACCCATTCTCAATCTCCCTCTTAATGGAGAGGGCCTTCTCTGTTATCCTCATGATTTAGGGATAATGTGCGCAAGGGGTTTTACTTGGCTTTGTCTCGTGTGTGCGGCCAGCTGTTTTCTCTTAGCTTTAGCATTAGACCATGGGTGTTAGCGGCGAAATCAGCTGTGCTGCTCTGGGAAAACAGTTTACAAAGGCCGAGGCAGGGCTGGGGTGATGAGGGAGTGTGTGAGAAGGCTTTGCACCTGAGACGGTCACTTGGGCACTCCTGGACAGTAAACTGTAAAGTGTGGACGAGAAGAAAGTTCTAACAGTGTGCCTAGCTTGTGTGACGAGAACAGTGAGCCCCACTGAAAATTAGATTCTGTCCTTTGCACGACATCCACGGTGATAGGACCTGCCTGACTGTGTACAACAGGGATCATAATAATAATAAAAATGATGAGGATAATGACAATTAAGAGGCACACTTTAAAGCACAGACCCCACACAGACACTGAAAGCTACAGGGAGGGTTTCTGATTTCTTTCTTCCGCATCTCAGCCCCACCCATAGCTGGATTCTGGGATGCTCCAGGCACGGCACAGACAACTGAACACCACCCATAAAAACACAGGCACTTTGAATCCGTCCACAGATACTTGCTTTCATTCGCTTCTCTCCAGGTGATCAGTCTGCCAGGTGTTCTTGCATCTTTTGACATGTCATCTAGATCACTGGGAAACACCTGCAGCAGGATCTCATCTGAAGAGGAGCAAGCAAAATCGTCAGCACCAGCAGCACACGAGGTGTATCCCGCTCTGTACCTGCCTAGCGCGTGTCCATGGATGCGTGAAGGGGCGACTCAGACTCAGCGGACGCAGGATGCTGGGCTCTAAGATGCCATCACAACTGCAAACTCATGACCGCAGCAGGTATCCCAGGCAGAGAGCGCCACCCACCGAGCCCAGGTGGCTAGAAACTCTGCCCCACGTCTGGCTTTCTGCCAGGTCCTGGTGTCATTCTGACCTACCTCTGGGACTGTGCCCAAGCTTCCCCAGCTGCAAGCAAAAACCCTTTCTTATCTCTACAAGACATGCATCATTTCTTCATTTGAGGCCTTGCTGCCTTTCCTGGTGTTAGGTCAAGGGCCTGCTCTTCTAAGATGCTAACTACTCTAAGAGGCCAGATCCCACAACCTGATGGAGACAGGCCACCCTGTGCCAGTGCCCTCAAACCCCACCTTCCCCAGATCTACCCTGGGATGAAAAGTTAAGGCGCTATCTTATCCCTTGCTGTGCTATGATTTTTGAATGGCTCAAACCAGTACCTGGCTCCTCCATGCTCCCTGTTCTGTAGGTTATACCAAGACTAAATCACATGGGTAGAACTTCCTACCACGCAAGCATACACGCTGACCTGATATAAAAGCAAGGTTTCTTTACTGAAGGGATTTCTCTAAAGACTCTCTCTCCTGGGCCTCCCCATCATCCTGTCATCATGACTTTCTTTCTCTTGTCCTAAGCTATCCCTCTACTGTGGTTAAATTAGCAATGCCTCGCATAGGCTCGTGTGCTTGATGGTCTCAGTGGTGCCATTTGGGGAGATTATAGAAACAGTGGTTCGCAACCTTCCTAACGCTGCAACCCTTTAATACAGTTCCTCATGGTGTGGTGACCCCAACCATAAAATTATTTTCATTACTATTTCATAGCTGTACTTTTGCTACATTATGAGTCATAATATAAATATTTTTGGAGAGAGAGAGTTGCCAAAGGGGTCCCAAGTTGAGAACCACTGTTTTAGGGGGTAGAGACTTGCTAAAGGAACTGAATGACTGGGAACATGAGGTTTATAGCCTCACCGCACTTTCTGGTCAATCGTGTGTATGTGTGTGTGTCTGTGTGGTGTGTACGTGTATATGGTGTGTGTGTGTGATGTGTTTGTGGGTGTGATGTGTGTGGTGTGTCTGTGTGAATGAGTATGTGTGTGGTGTGTGTGTGTCTGTGTGAATGTGTATGTATGTGTATGGTGTGTGTACTGACGCTCATGTGCCTGTTGCGTGCCCTCCTTCCTGTCTGTGGACACACAAGTCGTCAGCCAGCTTCCTGCCCCTACTGCCAGGCCGTCTCTGCCACTATCGTCTCTATTCCGCATGAGCCATAAGCCGAATTAAACCCTTTTCTTCCTTAAGTAGCTCTGGGTCACCATTTTTTATCACAGCACTAAATAATAACTAACAAGCTTTATTACTCAAGCCCCATGAGGTTTTAAAGGTGACGTCTGCCCTCAGGCCCATGGTGCTGGTTTTAAGCAGCTATACGATGTTGAGCTATATGGTTCCTTTCTAATGCTCTCCAGGGACGAGGCTCTCTTGTGATCAGAGGCCCTTCCTCCTAACAAAACCCATTCCTGAAGGCAGTTACACGCCAGCTCTTTCATGAACCAACAGCCTATGCCATCAGCTTTCTCCTTTACTTAACGCTATAAGCACACTATAATTTCGGGGCCAATAGGCACAGACCCAAATCCCAGTTTGATGCCTGCCAGAGCCTGACCTGGGGTGGATAACTTTCACCTCTTAGATCTTTGGTGCCATCAGCAGCGGGGGGGGGGGGGGGGGGGGGGGGGGGGGGGGGGGGGGGGGGGGGGGGGGGGGGAGAATTTAACTCAGAGAACTTTTGTGGAAATTGTTGTCTTTAAGGCCCTGAACACAGGGTCAGTGTGAAGATTGTGCCCAAGGCCAAATACCTCACAACCAATTCATATAGCATCAACCCCCGAGCAGCTAAGAAACACAGTCCATGAACCGCTCTGTGGAATATGGGGACAAGAATGGAAAAAAAAAAAAGGTGTGACACACAGGAAACCAAGGTGTCATTCACATAGGACAGAAGAATGAATTCTCAGTCACGGCTTCTATGCTTTTCCATCTCAAGATGCTCTCACCTCCTTCTGCATCTACTCTGTGGTTGAAGCCTCGAAGGCCACATCCCCAAAGAAACTTCCTTTCCCACCCTCCCTGGCAGATAGAGCCAGGCCACACAGCACAGAGAGATCCTCAAAGACAACTGAGACCCAGAAAGGGCATTGCTTCTCTAGACAAAAATGTATTCCTTTTTTTTCATTTTGGAAGGTGGTTGAGACAGGGTCTCACTATATACCCTTGGATGTCTTAGAACTCACTATGGAGACTGAGCTAGCCTCAAATGTACAGAGACCAGTCTGCCTCTGCTTCCCAAGTACTGAGTTCAAGGGTGTGCACCACCATGCCCAGCTTGGATAGAAATTTTTAAAGTTCTGAGCTTGCACTTTCCTATGTCTTCTTCTCGAGCCTGGAAAGGAGGATGTCTGGCTGTAACGCCTGGAATTGCAGCAACCATCCTGCGGCCCAGAGACACAATCACCAGGGACAAGTCCTGATGATCTCAAAGCAAATAGCTCCAGCCAGAGCTACTTTGACAAGGGAAAAGAAAGAACCCTTGGTTTGTGTCGCTGAGCCATCTAGACATGTACGAGGGTATACCAGACATGGCCAGACATACCAACATGTCTACAAAGAACAGCAAAACCAGAGTTGAGCTGAAGACAGAAGGAAAAAGGCTGGGCCCAAGCAAGCAGACCTCAGGAGGAAGCAGTGAGCCCTGCCAGGAAGGGCTGCCCACAGAACGCGCTAAGAACCTCCATTCTGCAGAAGTGGGGTGTTTCTGTCACCTCTCTGCTTCCTCAGCAGACTGCTGTGGTTCAGAACTGTTCCCTGAGCCTTGTCCCTGGACTTGTAGGACGTCAGCAATCCTCAGCCTGGAGTCTCCCAGACAGCTTTACAACTTGACCACTGTGTCTGCCGGTCCATACCTTTAGTCCCAGCAACTGGGAGGCAGAGGCAGATGGATCTCTGAGGAGGATGTCAGCCAGGAACACACAGTGAGACCCTGTCTCAAAGCGAAAACAACAAACACCTAGGCTTTACAGGTCTGGGGCTCTGGTTTGACTCCTCGCGCCGTAAAAATGCCCCTCCCCTAAGTCTAATACCAGGACCTTGGAGAAGAGTCCTTTAATATCCCTCTGGCTGTTCCCAGCTCAGCCTCGGGCCTCACTCTCTCTGCTAAGCAGAAATCATCCAGACAGGCGCTAAGTGGAGGGCTGAGGTGGGTCACTGCCTCAGGGAACTTCCGGATGGTACAGCTGACTCTACCACCTACCCCCTTTGGAAAAGCAGCAGCTTTACCAAGCTTTGGTTTATCGCCCTGTTAGCTTAATTTTTTTTTGGCACCTGGACACTTAGAGGAACTGACTCTAAGGCAAAACACTCGCCTTCCTGCCTACCCAAACTGCACACAGGAACAAGTGACCTGGAACAAGCGCGTGACTTCTTTAAATCCCAGACTCGGGTTCCACAGGACGACTTACCGAATAGCTTAGCCAAATCTTCCTCGAAATGGCTTGAACTGGAGGAAAAGCTGTTCTCCACACCTGTGGGAGAAACAAGGCGCATTGTGATGAAACCTTTCTCCGGTCAGGCAGGCATGATGGTGCACACCTTCGAGCCTAATACGTAGGGTCTGAATCGGGAAGGATAGTTCTTGGCCAACTTTGCCTACAGAGCAAGTTCAAGGCCAGCTTGAAGGACAGGACCACTGACTCAAAGGTAAATAGCTTCCACCTATATGTATCACCCCCACCACACAGGATACATCCCAAGACTCCAGTGCCTCCCTGAACCTGTGGACAGTCCCAAAATCCATGGATTATTTTCGTATGTATATATACTGTCTTTTCCGATTTTTAACTGTTACTTATCAGGCACGGTGGCCATAACGCTTGCCGTCTGTGGTATAATACCAAACAGGCACAAATTTTGTTTGCTTTCTACATGATTGCAGGGATAGAAGACCCACCCTGATGACTTTGGTGTACTTAACTGTTGGAGACCGAGTCTGGAGCGTCACCCTCTAAAGCTCTAGGATCTAAGTCCTCACAGACCCAGGATCTTTACCCAGAGAGGGGTCTGAGGATTGTGGTCAGCCAATTGGTCTAGCAAACTGTTAATATTATTGTCAGGTGTGTAACTTTTGTTTATGCTGCATTTGATTAGCTGTGAAGCTGTGTTACTGTGTCTGTCTAAAACACCTGATGGTCCCAATAAAGAGATGAACAGCCAATAGCGAGGCAGAAGCAAGGATAGGCAGGGCTGGCAGGCAGAGAGTATAAAAGGAGAAACAAAGAGAAAGGAGCAAGAGAACAAGGAGTGGTGAATATCTGGGGTCAGCCACCCAGCCACCCAGCCACCCAGCCATCCAGCCACCCAGCCACCCAGCCACCCAGCCACCCAGCCACCTAGCCACCCAGCCACCCACAGAGTAAGAAGGAAAGAACGGCATATAGAAAGAGAAAGTTAAAAAGCCCAGAGGCAAAAGGTAGATGGGAAAATATAAGTTAAGAAAAGCTGGCAAGAAGCAAGCCAAGCTATGTCTGGGCATTCATAATTAAGCATAAGTCTCTGTGTGTGATTTGAGAGCTGAGTAGTGGAACCCCCCAACAAAAGAGTAAAACATCACAATAGCAAACAGCAAGGTTGATTCCAAATGATTCAAAACCATAAAAACCAAGGAAGGAAACCTGACATTTGCTTTGAAAAATCTATGTCCGTAGCAATTTAATAAATTAAAACCAAAAGATGGGAACAGCCCCAATGTCCATCAGCTGATTGAACAGCAGCAGGACGTTCAGTCCTGAGAAGGGGCAGAGCAGCTACATGAATGACCTGGGGATGTGCTAAGGGAAAGGAGCAGGCACAAAGCCCACACGTCATGTGATCGTGTTTACAGGGGGTATCGGGAATAGAAAGCCCACAGAACAGATGGCAGACTGGGCCTTCCCTAAGATTAGGGGTAAAGAAGAAAGGAGGTAATTACTAAGGACCACACAGTCCTTTTTAGGGGTAATGAAAACATTCTAAAATTAGGTAATAGTGATTCACTACTGTTTATACACTAAACACCACACACACACACACACACACACACACACACACACACACGCACGTGCGCGCGACTATATCGCTTTTCAGGTGTAATTTTCTTTCTTTGTGGTTAGGTGTTAGTTACTACGTTGCCCAGCCTGGTCTCGAACTCATAACAACAATAATGATGATGAAATGAAAAAGAAAATGATGAGCTCAAGTCAACAGGCAACTTTTATTGTTGATGAAATCTCCCTAAGGTTGTCATTTAAAAACTGTGGAGAGACCTGGAAGCAGCCTCCCCATACCCGCAAACCATCCCCCACCACATCTCTGACCACCGAGCCTTGGCCTTGACTGCACCTGGAGAGGAGCCCCCAGAGCCACAGCCCAGCCTGCACCAGGAGGAAGAGTGACCACCTAAGGCCCCACCTACACCAATTTTAGGAAGAGATGGGTAGGTACCAATTCAAGAATACATTCAACAACCTAAAAAAAATATGGCAACTCCTGAACCTAGTGGTTCTACAAAACAAAGACCTGAACATCCTAATGCAGAAGAAGCAGAAGAAAATGTCCTTAAATATATGAAGATGATAAAAACTTTTAAAGAGAAAATGAAAAATCCCCTTAAAGAAATGGAGGAAAAGACAAAAAATTGGAAGAAATCAATAAATCTCTTAAAGATAATGAAGAAAAATCAAGACAAAACAATCAAAAGATGAAGGAAACAGTGCAAACAGTTCAACACTTGAAAACTGAAATAGAGACAATAAAGAAAACACAAACCAAGGGAAATCTGGAAATGGAAATCTGGATAAACGAACGGGAACTACAGATATAAGCATAACCAACAGATTACAAGAGACAGAAGAGAGAATTACAAGAGATGGGAGAGGAAATAGATTCATCAGTCCAAGGAAATGTTAAATCCCACAAATTCTTAACAGGAAACATCCAGGAAATCTGAACACCATAAAGAGACCAAACAAGAATAATAGGACGGGCGGTGGTGGCGCACGCCTTTAATCCCAGCACTCGGGAGGCAGAGGCAGGCAGATCTCTGTGAGTTCAAGACCAGCCTGGTCTACAGAGCTAGTTCCAGGACAGGCTCCAAAGCCACAGAGAAACCCTGTCTCGAAAAACCAAAAAAAAAAAAAAGAAAAGAAAAAAGAAAATGATGACTTCACCATAACTGATTTCAAGATATACTAAAGAGCCATGGTAATCAAAACAGCATGACAGTGGCACAGAAGTCGTCCCATAACATGGGACAGAAAGACCAGATAAAGGACCACACAAGTACTGACATCTAATTTTTGACTAAGGTGCCAAAAATATACATGAGAGATAAAACAGCATCCTTGGTAAATGCTGCTAGGGAAACTAGATAGCCAGATGTAGAAAGAAAAAATAAATGACATTTGTCAACCTCTAAACAAAAATCAATTCCAAATGAATCAAAAATCTCAAAGACCTGAACCTGCTGGAGGGAAAATACTGCAGGATTAGGCACAGGAGGGGCTTTCTAAATCAGAGTCCAGTCCTTCCCAGAACAAGTCCAACAATCAACAAAGGAGACCTCACGAAATCAAAGCCTTCTGTATAGCAAAGGAAACAGTTGAGAGAAAACACAGCCTGCAGACAGAAGAAATTCTTTGCCTGCTATGCATGTGGTACAGGACTAACATAGAGAATATACAAAGAAACCCCCCCCCCAAAAAAAAATAAAAAACCTAAACAGGAGAAGGAACAACCCAATCCGAAAAAATGGCTGTGTTGGCTGGGCATGGTGGCACATGTCCTTTAGGCCCAGTAGGGAAATCTCTGAGTTTGAGGCCAACCTGATCAACGTAGCAAGTCCCAGGATGGCCAGGGCCACATAGGGAGATCATGTCTCCAAAAGACAAGAAGAAGGAGGAGAACAACAGCCTAATGAATATTTTTTTAAAAGTGTCCAACATCCTTATCCATCAAGGATACAAACCATAACTGCTTTGAGATTGCATGTCATTCCTGCTAGAGAGTCAACGACAGCAAATGCTGGTAAGGACGCAGAGAAAGGGAACGTGTCGGTGAGCGGTGAGACTTACAGCGACACAGCTATAGCCCCCCTTACTTGCTCATCTGTGTTGATGGCTGCTCTGCCTCGATGTCCACCAACAGATGAATGGATAATGAAAGTACGGCACATGTACACAGCGGAGTTTTATCCAGTCATAAAGAAAAATGAAATTATGGTGCTTTCAGGAAAATGAGTGGAACTGAGAAATATACTAAGTTACCCAGGCCCCGAAAGAGACAACACCACGTATTCTCGCTTACATGAGGACTCTATTTCCTAATCTTTATATATGTACATTTATGTGGGAGTCTGAGTATACAGAGCATTGGAAACTAGGAAGGCAGCCAGGAGATGAAGGCAGAGTCTACGAGAGTGTGGAGGAGTGGGAAGGAAAGATGGCTCAGCAGTTTAGAGTGCACCCTGCTTCTCCTGAGGGTCGGAGTTCTGTACACGCACCCACACTGGGTGGCTCACAACGGCCTGCCTATAACTTCAACTCCAGTGAAGCTGGTTTCCTCAGGCTCCTGCATCCATGTGTACATACCAACAACACCCACACACATACACACAAAATCTTTTTAATAAAACAAACATTTTTTAAAAGAGTGGAAAGAAAGATCTGGGTATGGTAGTGCACACCTTTAATCCCAGTACTTGGGAACTCTGTGAGTTCAAGTCATCTTGGTCTACATAGTGAGTTCCAGGACAGCCAGAGCTACATAACAAGACCCCGACTCATAAATGAATGAATGAATGAATAAATAAATAAATAAATAAATAAATGAGATACTGGGGGGCAGAAACCAAAAGGAGTGAGAATAAGAAGATGAGGGAGAGGATGGGCCAGAGGGAGGGTCAATCAAAGTTAAGAATGTGTGAAAGCCATAAAGAAATAATGGCATTTGCTAATCTCAGGGTTTTTTCTAATTTTTAAAAATTGTGTGTTTGTGTATATGTCATGGTGTGCAAAAAGAGGTCACAGGACAGTTTCCACCACGTAGGTCCTGCAGATCAAACTTACACCATCAAGCTTGTTGGCAGACACTTTTACCCACTGAGTCATCTTGCTGGCTTTTGGTAAGCTGATTTTGAAAAGAAAATTTCTAAAACAGTCTAGAGGTACCCTGTATGGATGTGTAAAGGTATCCCAGAAGCCATGGGTTATTAAATGAATGTCTCAGTGCCAGAAGTGGGCTGCTTTTCTAGTAATTGTTTGGAAAATCTTCTGAGGTCCCCAGAACATTACAGAAAATTGCCATTACTGTTGGCTGCTCACCAGTAACGGTAAGATCCTATTACTGAAGATATCACACGTTCCGGTAGCAAGGTATAGGGATATCAACCTGGGCTAGACTGGAAGTGTCCCTCTGCCAGTAGCCATCAAAGCGTTTGAAGGCACCAGTCAGGTTGCTGGGGATTTTAGAAACCATCATTGTCGTCTTCTATGTGTATGAATGTTTTGCCTGCATATACATAAGTATACCAAGGACAAGTGTCAGAGCCCTTGGGACCAAAGTCACAGATTATTTATGAGCTACCATATGGGTACTTGTTTGTAAACTAACAAATAAAGCTTGCCTGAAGATCAGAGTGTAGACCTAAGCCACTAGTTAGTCATAGAGGCCAGGCAGTGATGGCACACACCTTTAATCCCAACATTCAGGGAGACAGAGGCAGAGGGATCTCTGTGAGTTCAAGGCCAACCTGCACTACACAAGATTGAATCTGTATAGAAGAGACAGAGTTCAAACAAAGGTGATCCCAGAACTTGGGATAACACGCCTTTAATCCCAGCATTAGAGCAGTGGAGACAGGAGTGAGATAGCTGGAAGGGGAGAGGAATGTAAGGTGGGAGGAGGAGACAGGAGCTCAGGGCGCTCTGAGGATTCATAGAAACAGGATCACCCTTTGGTCTGAGCATTGGTAGAGGTAAGAACTTTCTGGTGGCTGCTGCTCTGCTTCTCTCATCTTTCAGCTTTAACCCCTACATCTGACTCCAGATTTTTACTATTAATATCAATTAGAAATCACGTTACAGGTGCTGGAAATCAAACCTGGGTTCTCTGCAAGAGCAACAAGTCCTCTTAATCAGTGAGTCGTCTCTACTGCCCCTGCCATCAAGTCTTACTCATGTGGATCCTGCAAGCTACACTACCAATTAGCCATCCAAAAACAATTCACTGGTGCAACAGTGGCAAACCTGTTATGGGGACCAACAACTCAATTCTCATCGAATCTGAGGTCCACTCTAGGGGAGAGAATTCATATCTGGTACCATAAGCCCGGCCAAAAGCCCAGTGGCTGGAGTTGTCATGGGCTGTATTGCTCTGCTCAACAGTCAGGATGTGCCTGTCGAGTAACCGTGTTTACGTCTGCAGAATAGCACTGCTGTTAGTTTAATCAGAGAAGTTTCTTTTTGCAGTGAGCAGGGGTAACTACAGAGACTCATGGTTGGTCGGAGGGATTAGCATAGTGAGTTTCGAATTCTCTTCCATACATGGGACATCTCCATCATCCCTTCTGAGCTGCAGGGAACTTTGCAGAAGTGGAGAAAAGAATGTAAGAGCTGGAGGAAGGTGGAGGATGTGTGGAGCACTGACTCCCAGGTGTGAAGTCATCACACTCCTGCGTTCACAGCAGCTGTGATTATCAGTACAGAATATCTACATAAGGCCAGTCAACATCCTGTCATGGATAGGGAAAGATCTCTCACCCATCCCTGAGGATTTATAAGCAGTTAATGACAGTGGGGTGGGTGGACATTTTCTTCAGTGGTGTAGACACTAGTAAGGTGCTTCTGTAAACAACTCCTCACCCATCCTCCTGTAAGCAGCCGAGTAAAACTCACTGGTAATTTTTTTTTTTAAGAGATGAAATTACAAGGGGGACTAACAAGATGAGGAAGCGAATTAGTCAGAGTGGTATGGAAACAAGAGAAGGTAATAGGTGAATATAAGCAAATAAAAGTATAAAAATGTTGTGATGACTGTTTGCATAATTAATATATGCTAAATTTTTTATTTGGTTGGCTTTTTTGAAACAGGATCTATGTAGTCCTGGCTGTCCTGGAGCTCACTATGCATAACAGGGTGGTCTCAAACTCACAGAGATCTGCCCCCTTTTGCCTCCCAAGTACTGGAATCAAAGACGTGTGCCACCCCACCCAGATTAGTATATACTAATTTTTAAAATATGTGTAGATAAGATTGGGATGATTTGTGTATAACTGTTCTTTCTATTAATTGTTCTACTTTTGAAATGTTTGAGAATATTTTATAATGAAGAGCTGACATTTCTGAGGATGGGATAGTCTTATGAAGCTCTAGGATTTGAGGCTACATCACAGGTAGATAAACTCAGTGGATCGAAAAACATAGCAAAAAGGAAAACTTCCCTTAAGATATTCCCTTCCTCCAAGGAATCCAGCCTCATGGTGAACTGAGGAAAGTAGAGAAAATAGGGCAGGAGGAGGGCTCACCATCCCAGCCTCGGCAGGAGGGGCCCACCAGCTGGCCGGGCTGAGGCTCCCCACGAGTCTTCCATCCCTCCAGTGGCCATGACAATACACTTGTGATGGTACCTTCAGTCACAGGGATAGAGTGGGGCTCTGCGCCCCACTGGCTGCCCAGGAAAAGTACAAAGGAGAAGAACACAGTGTCGCTCATCTTTGCCACAGCCAGCACACCATCAAGGGGGAGCCATTCTCCTGGGTTTCTCGCAGACACAGCATAGAAACAGCATTGAGTTCCAGGATGTTGTGGAATCTGGGCTCTGTGAGGTCATACTGGGAAAGGAGTGTGGCTGTAGTCAGGGACCAAGTGGGATGCTAGTGGCCCTCAAAGGGTCTCTCTGTTCATTTTCTTGGCTCTCTGAGGCCTTCCTTCATCCTGCATGCCCTACAACTTAAAGGTGGGACTGTATCAACAGGACTCTTAGAATACACAGGACAGAACTCAACAGAAGCAGCTAGGGCCTCCAGGGATACAGTATTAATGGCCAAGGGAGCAGAACAAGCCATCTCAAGCCTCTCCCGCTGAGAGTTGCCTTGGGCCAGACTCCACCTCCAGGAAGCCGGCTAAGTCCTGACCCTCCAGGTCAGGACCATTTCCACGGGTTATTAAGGCTCCCACCAGAAAAAAGGAACAGGTTTTGCATGTGCTCTCCCTCTCTGTCCCGTCCCCACCTCCCCACCCCCACTATTCTCCCAGCCACCCAAGAGCACGGCATTCATTAAACATGGGTATTTTTGATCTGGTCTAATCTGGTCTAACTGGAGTTATTTTGTGCCAGCAGAGAGGCTCTTCTTAAGATTTTTCCTAACATGGATTATTTTAAGAGACTACTTAAATATATTTAATTATACATTTTCTAGTATATTTCCTTTATTGCTAGTATCATAAATTACCTAGCCAGTCCTGTACATACAGTGACTATGGCCAGGGGATAAACAGTGTGGAGTGGAGTGGCTAGGATGGAGAGATCTGAAGGCAAACCACACACGCGCGTGCAGAGTTAGTTATATGGGGGACTGGAGACAAGGCTAAGCAGTTAAGAGCACTTGTGCAAGCTTATGCATCCACCACCCACATAAAAGCTAAACATGGTCCTGGGCAGCACCTGTAACTATAGCACTAAGATGGGCAGAGACAGGATTGCTGGGGCTTGGGGCCAAAACCTAACTGAAAAATAAGAGCTCCAGGTTCAGTGAGAGACCCTGCCTCAAAGGAACAAGGAGGAGAGTCATAAACACACACGCATACACCACATGCATGCATGATAGATAGCAGACACAAAACTCTTGCTAACCCTGGTGTATTAGCTTGCTAGGGTCACTACAGCAAATTAGCAGAGGGATGTAAACAACAGATTTATTCCCGCACTGTTCTGGAAGTCAGAAGATGGAGATCACAGTGCTGACAGTGTTAGGTCTTTCTGCAGGACAAGAGGAAAGGATGCCTTCTAGAACTTGGCTCTGTGGGCCCGCAACATCACTCTCCCTCCATACACATCTGGATCCAAGGGCCTCTTACTAGAACATCTTCAGCCACACTGGATTAGAGCCCACCATTGTAGCCTCGTTTTGACTTCCTTACCTCTGTAAAGACTTTAAATCCGCCGGGCGGTGGTGGCGCACGCCTTTAATCCCAGCACTCGGGGGCAGAGGCGGGCAGATCTCTGGGAGTTCGAGGCCAGCCTGGTCTACAAGAACTAGTTCCGGGACAGGCACCAAAGCTACAGAGAAACCCTGTCTCAAAAATCAAAAAAAAAAAAAAAAAAGACTTTAAATCCATACACACTCATATTCTAAGGCCCCAAGGTTAGGATTTCAGCATCTAAATATGGACACAATTCAACTCATCACATCAGGGATAGCTTATTTCTCTAAAATAGCTTCAAGAAAACAAAAACTAGAACACACACATGCACACACAAATACACATATGCATATAAACACACATACACATAAGCACACATATACACACACACATACACACAAACACACACTGACACCCTTAGCAAAGACAGAAGACAGAAAATATCCAGCTTCAAATCAGTAAAAGAAAAAGTAACTGCTAACTTGAATGACCTCTCTTTTACTTCTGATGCTGGTCTCTACAAAGAAAAACACAGCAGTCCAAGATGGTCTAAATCTCTACCCCACTGGTTTGTGTTTTGTGTTACACTTAACACCTCATAATATGTGAACTCTCATGGTAAAAACACAGGGCGTTTTGTAAGTATTCTATAGCTAGAATATCATTATTTGAATAAAATCTCACCTTTAAAAAGCAGTTTAGAGTACTTGCAAGGTAGAGGCAGGTAGATCTCTGTGAATTCAAGGCCAGCCTGGTCTATATAGCAAGTTCTAGGGCTACATAGACCTTGTCTCAAAAAAAAATTAGGGGACACCAAGATGACCCCTGAGGTGAGAACACTTGCCACCAAGCCTGAGGACCCGAGTTTAATCCACAGGACCTACGTGGTGGATAAGAGAACCGACTCCCTCAGGCTGTCCTTTGACCTCTATGGCATGCATGCACATGCACACAAAGATACACACACAAGGACGCACACAAAGGTACACACAGACACACACAAAGATAAACATACATGGACGCACACAGACACACACAAAGATACACACAGACACACACAAAGATAAACATACATGGACGCACACAGACACACACAAAGATACACACACAAAGATACACACAGACACACACAAAGATAAACATACATGGACGCACACAGACACACACAAAGATGCACACAGACACACAAAGATACACAGAATAATTTTTAATACATGCAATGTTTACAATAACAGAGGAATCTTTGTGTGAGGCATAATTACAGAATAATAGCTTGAGTTTAAATTAGAAATTAGTGTTTAATCAGGCCTACTCTAGAAAAGCTATAATCAACTAATGGTTATGGAAGAGGGAGAATCAGTCTTCTCCAGGGCCAAGCCCCTGATAGGTTACTCGGTCAACCCCAAACATATATGAGCAACACTAAGTTATCCCAGCAGGTTGTACTCACACACTCACACACACGTGCCAATTATAATTAAATAAGAGGCCATGCATACCAGGGGTGGGAGGAAAACGGCAGCGTTTGAGGGAAAAGAGGAAGGGGAATGACGTAAATGCCGTTCTCACATAGGAAATTCTCAAAAACTGAAACGTTTAAAAGAAGTTACTGTTTAAAAATCTACTTCCTAGCCAGGCACGGGGAAGCACGCATTTGATCCTAGCACTCAAGAGGCAGAAGCATGTGGATCTCTGTGAGTTCAAGGCTGGCTCGGTCTACACAGTAAGTTCCAGGACAGCCTTTCCCTGTCACAAAAAAAAAAAAGAAAAAAAGAAAAAAATCTATTTCTAAGATATATGTGGATGCAGTTTTTAAATAGTCAATATTTAAGTGTAAATAAAAATTTTAATGCCAAATGCTTATGTATATTAAGTATATTATGTATATTAAAATAATATGTATATTAAATAATTTTAATATATACATATTAAAGAAACAATTCCACAAGCATTTACTAGTTTTTCTCTAAGTTTTCCTTTTATCATATTTTTTTAAATATTTATTTATTTATGTATGCAATATTCTTTCTGTGTGTATGCCTGAAGGCCAGAAGAGGGCTCCATTACAGATGGTTGTGAGCCACCATATGGTTGCTGGGAATTGAACTCAGGACCTTTGGAAGAACAGGCAATGCTCCTAACCGCTGAGCCATCTCTCCAGCCCCTCATATGAAGTTTTTTAAAAATTTATTCTTCTCTCATATATTACATCCAGACTGAAGTTTCCCTTCCCTCCAATCCTCCCAACCCCTCCTCCCTCCTCTCTGCCAAATCCACTCCTCCATTTCCTTTCAGAAAAGAGAAGGCCTCCCAGGGATATCAACAGAACACGGCACAAGTTACAATAAAACTAGGCACAAACCCTCATATCACGGCTGGACGAATCAGCTCAGTGGGAAGAAAGGGTCCTAAGAGCAGACAGAGGGTCAAAGACAGTCCCTGCTCCCCCTGTTAGGAGTCACACAAGAAGACCGAGCTACACAACCATAACATACATGCAGAGGACCTGGGCCAGACCCGTACTGGACCATATGGTCCGTTCAGTCTCTGTGAGCCCCCATGAGCCCGGTTTAGTTGACTCTGTGGGCCAGAGTCTCATGGTGCCCTCAGGCCATCTCGCTCTGCCAAGGCTTCCTCCCCCTTTTCAGTGGAGTTCCCCAGGCCTCTGCCTAATATTTGACTGTGGGTCTCTGCATCCGCTCCTGTGAGTTGCTGGATGAGGCCTCTCTGATGACAGCTGGCTTGCTGGGTCTGTCCTAAGGTCTCTGGGCTATCCAGCCTCTGGTTCCTGGCCATCCAGGCAGGGGCAGGGGTGGACAGACACTGCCTGGAAGTAATTTTTTAAATGTGTATCTATGTGAATGAAAGCCAAGTATGTGTGGTTGTCCATGGTTGTTGTAAGAGGAGCGGCAGGCTGCGTCCCACTGCCCAGCTAGCTTATACCCGAAATAATCACACAGAAATTGTATTAATTAAATCACTGCCTGGCCCATTATCTCCAGCCCCTTATTAGCTAACTTTCACATATTAGTTTAACCCATCTCCATTAATGTGTATTGTCACTTAACTGTGGCTTACCGGCATGAGTCTAACCAGCGTCCGTCTCGGGCAGGAGAACCATGGTGTCTGCCACACTGCCCTTCCTCCCAGCATCCAGTTCGGTCTACTCAACCTATCTAAGTTCTGCCCTATCAGGCCAAGCAGTTTCTTTATTAATTAACCAATGAAAGCAACACACAAACTTGGTGACCAGAAGATGCAGAATCCCTTGAGGCTACAGTCACAAGCGCTCATCATAGCTCCAGACTTCATATGAAGTAAGGCTTTTAAAATTTATTTATTTAAGCCGGGCAGTGGTGGCACACGCCTTTAATACCAGCACTCAGGAGGCAGAGGCAGGCGGATCTCTGTGAGTTCGTGGCCAGCCTGGTCTACAAGAGCTAGTTCCAGGACAGGCACCAAAAACTACAGAGAAACCCTGTCTCGAAAAAAATTCAAAAAAAAAATAGATAAAATTTATTTATTTGTATTTTATCTACATTGGAGTTTTGCCCACATATACGTCTGTG